GGAAGGAAGGAAGGAAGGAAGGAAGGAAGGAAGGAAGGAAAAGTGTTTATAAAAATGAAAAAGACATATAGAGGCAAAATTAATAGTGGATCCATCATAAAAATGAATTATTCATGCCATTTCATCTACAAAATTGGTGCAATTAATTTACTGATATATTAATTTTCAATTGTCAGTTGTCATAGGCTTGATGAGATTTATTTATCTAAGATTTATTTATTATTATTAATAATAAATGAGATTTATTTATACTAAGAGATTTATTTCTCATTCTCTTCTGTTCCATGGTCAGCTTTGAATATACTTTATTTATTTATTTATTTATTTATTTATTTATTTATTTATTTATACATTCGATTTATTGTCCGCCCATCTCCCCCCAATGGGGAACTCTGGGAGGTTCACAAAGTACATATATAATTCTAACAGTGAGAAACAGTGAGAAATCTTACAATTATACAATTAGTGCTGTTACTCTATGTGACCAGCAGGGGCCGCTAGGGGGTCATCCGGGCTTTTTCCTCCTCCGTGGATCTTTCTCGCCGCTCGCATCGATCGTTGCTTGTGCCGGCTGAATTCGGAGTTCGGCCAGCACCGGTATTTTGCTCCCCCGCGCAGATATTCTTGTCGTTGTTGCCATTTCAGCCTATAAATCAGAACTGAAGAGTTGTGTCAGCCCTTTCTTTACAAAACACCAAAAGGACACACAGTGTATTTTTATTTATAAACCACAAACCACAAATGTAGCTGTAAAACAGCGATGTGATATACAGCAAGGAAAGCCTCAAATAAAACAGTTTTAACAGCAGTACTGTAATTGTGTTGCTGTTTTGTAGGCATTATAAAAGTTAACTGATGTGTTACCACATGGGACTTTGGGATCAGAGTCCTCTGTCAGATGCATGGAGCAGAGTCCTGTATAGGAGTGTATTCAGGGCCCATTATATATAATCAAGTAGATTTTTTAAATCAATACATACCCAGTGATTTTTGTAATTAAGAGAAGAAATCAGCAGAAAGATAAAGGGTTAAACAGAAAAAAATTCTGACTGACAGAGAGATCCCCTTTCCACAGCTTGCCGCACATGCTAGAGTCTGCCTCCCCTTTTGGGGTGGGCCACCAAAGATTGCTGGGAGGAAAACCCACTTCTACAAATGCCCTGGCTGCCCCCAGATTGGACTGTGGCCTTTGAGCATTCCAATTTTTGTTGCATAATAATTAACATGAAAATCATTAATATGCAATTGGTAGACAGGTTTTAAATTACAAGAATCATTATTTGTCTTTTGTACAAGGATGTCTTATTTGACTTTATTGTGTAAAATATGCAATATTATATGCACTACATGTGCCAAACAGAGCCATCAAAGTCAGAGAGTTTTATCATTAATAACATTTACTGACAGTCTGAAAAACCAAACTATGCTCACATACAGTAAAAATCACTTCCTGCCATTCTGAATGACACTGAAAATCTCAAAGCACTGTAGTTACGTATTTTAGAAAACTGCATCATGCAATGCTCTCTTCTCCATACCTGCAAAGGGTACATCTGCCTGTCCTGCTTGCACATCTGCACAAGAAGGGCCCACTAAGGGGCATTTCTCAGGGACAGGAAGACATGACATCTTCCTCAACTTGCTACCAGCACAGCATGAAGGCAAAGTCCACTCATCTTTTCTGAGGCAAAAAATAGTTGTTTCTGATATTTTATGGCACTAGCAGAACTATGCTCTCTGCTGAGTTTCATTTCATTGTAAGCAAATGCCTCTACTCTATTTAGCTAATGAAAGAGGTCTGGAAGCATCCCCTTCTTGACACAGCCTTCCATGCTGAACTGTTTGATTGATTGATTGATTGATTGATTGATTGATTGATTGATTTTACAGGTTCATTGATAAAACAGTAAAACTCAGGCATTTTTTCCTTCTTTTTACAAGTTCACTGGTGGCATGGTGAAATGTAGACCTACCTTCCCTCCTTCCCTTCTTCCCGCCTTCCCACCTTCCCACCTTCCTGCCTTCTTGCCTTCCTTTCAAGTGGTGTCAAGAGGAAAGGTAAGATTGTAGCATTTTTTTCCCCACTAGATCCACCATTGGACACACCACATGGGAAGGTGTCAAGTATGAGGAACACTGAATAGAAGGAACTCATACAAAAGGTCTATCAATGGAAACCACATGTCCTCAAAGACCCACCTATGGAAAGGATAGTGATGCACTCTTGTTTTTATGGCACAGATGAGAAGGACAAAGAAGCAGGGAAATCTGCTATCTGGACAGAACACTTGGCTGGCATCCTTGCTAAAGCTGAAAAATGGATTGAAATATGGACAGCGATTTCTTAAGCCAACTTCATTCCCATTGAAAGAGTTAAATCAGCACTGAAACAAAATGTTTCTCCTCCTTCTATGAGATTACTTAATGGCATGTCAGTGGAGTTTGAAATGTAGTCACCAAAGTCAGCAGTGTTTAGGTATTTTTCCTAAAGACTGCTTATTAAAGATTATTACAATAATAAGTCAACATGTTCCAAGCTATATAAATGATAATGTGCTAACTCCCAGAATAAAGTTGAGGCAACAATAAAAAAGTACTATGTGTGAATGATTAACCCAAAGTTTCACCTCAAAGCTTTGCAAGAAAACAGATGTTTTTGTATGTTATATCCTCTGAACCACAAAGAAATGTCCCATCTGGTGGCAGACAAAAATAGTTTTGGGTTTTGACAGCTGTTTTGTAATTTCATAGCCTTGTTGCAAGATAAACTCATAGATGTGTCATTTCCTTCTTTTTTCTAATTTAGGTATATAGATAGGCAGGCAGTTAAATAATTAGATACAGGTAAATTTCACAGAATTCAATGAGATTAACTTCTGAATAAACATGATTAAAATTTGGTTTTATTAGTTTTCAAATTAACTGAATGATTAGATTCAGAAAATTCTGAAATATGCACAAAAACTCGTTAACAACGTTTTACACGTGTGTGAAATCTGAAGCCCTGATTTCAAAATGCAATCCCAACTGTATCACTGAACATTCATATGAAAAGGCATATAGCTGTATGTGATCTCTTACAAAGGAAGCTTTCCATAATATAAAGGAAAGTGAACTTCTTCTCCTAGAAGTCCTAGCTAAAATGCTGGGTCCCCAAGAAGTGCATCCCAGAAGAAAAGAAGCGGGTGGTTACTACAAAAAGCACAATTACTTGCCACTTTTGTAATATTGTAGATTCTTTGTTTAATGGTTTCATCTATCAAATCCTTCGCACTGGTGTTTGAACTCTGTCTGCATTTATCTCACACACACACACACACACACACACACACTTGAGCTCAACTCCTGTTGACTTAGTTGTCTGGTTGCCCCACTGCCAGAATAGGCAGGCAACTGTTTCTGGAGGGTATAGAC